ATTTGCACATAACTGACTCGCCTCGCTTGGTTGGAATCATAAACAACCCTAAAGACTGAACAAACGTACAGAAAAATGGGGGTCGAGGGGTGGGTAACTTAATAAAAAATACCTGGACTTTATTTTTTCCTGGGTGAGTTTTTTTTCTCCTGTTTTGTTCTTTTATACTCTCTTGCTCACTCTCTCTCGCGCGCTCTCTCTCGCTCTCGCTCTCGCTCGCTCCTTTCTCATTTACAATGCAAAGGTGTGTAAAATGTTCACTTACAGTCTCGACTCCCCGGGAGGTTAATGTATTAACGGGTTGGAGGAAGAGCCCTGATTTTGATGCGTGAAATAATCAGACAGTCCTCCCGACAGTCCCGTGGTAAAACTGGGCAAGGAAGGTCTCAAGGACTCGCACGGGAGCGTGGAGGGCGCCTGCGGCGAGGTGGAGGCCGAGGCAGCGCGGGCCGTCATCGAAGTGCTGCTCTGCGAGGTCATGGACGGGTGGGGGACGTGGGGGAAAAAGTAACTGGTCTGCCCGGCCGCCAGCAGGTTGACGGAGCAGGGGTTGAGGGAGTAGGTGCCGGAGCAGGGCACGGACAGGCCGCAGGGCACCGAGGCGGCCAGGGCGGCGGCGGTGAGGTGGTGGGTGGCGTAGGGGATCTCGCCGTTGACCAGTCTGTCCACGCTGAGGCCGTTGGAGGTGGAGAAGGAGTGGTTGTTGCCCAGGGAGTTCTGCGTCAGGACCGAGCTGTAGGGCATGGGGTGGCTGGGGTACGCCGAGGTGGTCCCGTTGTAGCTCAGCGTGCTGCTGGCCCGCGGGTGGTGGAGGGAGAGGAAGGGGGACATGGGCCAGTACAGGGAGCCCGCCCGGTCCATGAAGGTCAGGCCGGTGGAGGTGAGGCGAGCGCCCCGCTTGAAGGCCAGTTTGGCCCGCGAGGTGGTGGAGCGCCGCCGCAGCTTGCCCGTGGTGCCGCCGATGAAGACGTCGTCGCTGGACGGGTCGAGCATCCAGTAGTTGCCCTTGCCCGGGTCGTCGTAGTGGCGGGGCACCTTGACGAAGCACTTATTGAGCGAGAGGTTGTGGCGGATGGAGTTCTGCCAGCCCTGCTTGTTCTCCCGGTAGTAGGGGAAGTTCTTCATGATGAACTCGTAGATGCCGTTGAGGGTCAGGCGTTTCTCCGGGCTCTGTCGGATGGCCATCATGATCAGCGCGTTGTAGCTGAAGGGCGGCTTCTCGTACTTGCCGTTCTTCTTCTCGCCCTCCTTGCCCCCGCCGTCGCCCCCGCCGCCGCCCTCCTTGGCCCCCTCCGACCCCCCCTTCTTCTCCTCCGACGGGCCCTTCTCTTTGTCGTCCAGGTCGGCCGCCGAGCCGGGCTCCCCTTTGCCGCCCAAGAGGTCCCCCTTGGCCACCTCCAGAGGACCGGACGCGGCGGCTGCCCCAGACGCCGCCGAGCCGGCCACTCCGACCCCAACGCCGACCCCCACCCCCGGGGGCTGCAGCAGGAGCGGGTTCTTCTCCTCGTCGTCGTCCTCCTCGGCCGGGGCGGCTCGCTGGGGCTGCTGCTGCTGCTGGGGAGGGTGGTGGTGGTGGTGGTGGTGATGGTGGTGGTGGTGGTGCGGGTGGTGGTTGTTGTGGTGGTGGCTGTGGTTGTTGTCGCTCTGGACGGCTTCGGGCACCAGGCTGTTGATGCTGAATGACGACTTGGGCAGCATTTTCACTTCCTTCCTATCGCCCATGTCCAACATCACAGTCGCGGCCGGGAGGAGGGCAGGGAGGCGCTGCAGGGTCCGTCACGGAGGCAGGCGGCAGGGGCGCAGCGACGGGAGCAGCAGCAGCAGCAGCCGGGCACTTGCACCACAAGCTCCAGAGCCTGGCAAGGCATGTAGCAAGGACAGGAGCCGCCGGGCACGGAAGGGAAAAGACCAGAGGCGCCCAGCGAGGCAGCGCAAGCCAATGCCCCGGGAGGGGTGGGGGACCAAAACCTCCCCCCTCCGGAGAAGAGGGGGAGAAGGAGCTTCTCAAAGGGGAGGAAAAGCGGAGGCCCCCCAAGGCCGAGTCTCGCTGTCCAAAACTACTTCATGGCGGTGCCTGGAGCCCCCCTATTCCACCCGAGCCAGGGAGGGGGGGGGATGCAGCAGCCGGGGCTGTGGATCGGAGCAGCGGAGACGGCTTGGGCGACAATTAATTTCAGAGCTACAGACACACACTAGGGCTGTAAAAAAATTTTTGGTTTAACCTTTCCCACCGGTCGTCCAATCAGAGCCCTCGGCGTGCAGGAACGTCTCCCCCTCCGCCGTCCAATCAGAGCACCGCCTTCTCCTCCTCTTCCCCTCGCGCTTTCCATTGCCTCCTTCCTTTCCCCCTGCCCAGCTCTACCGGGGCGCAGAGATACCAAAGTGGCCGGGCGCATCACCGCGGCAGGTTACCTTGTCTCCAGCCTGCCTTTACCCTCCCCCTTCCCAGTGCCCCAGACCCTCCCAGCCTCACACTCAGTGCTGTGGCATCCCTACGGGCGACCTCCCTCTCCCTGCCCTGAGCCCAGAGGGGCTCCCCTTTCCTGGCGCCCTTGTTTGTTGGTTTAGCTTTCCTGTTGGGAGGAGAGAAGGAGGGAGGGAGGGAGGGGAGAGGAAATGGTGGCAGAGGGAAAGGAAGGGAAGGCGCACTACTTTGCGGAACCAACCGTGCTGTCTCGGGGAGGGAGGCTGCCGTTCCCTAGGCCTCTGGCACCGGCTTCCTTGGCTAGCCTGGCCTTTAAGGGACAGGGCAGCAAGGGGGAGAGGAGGGGAGGAGAAGAGAAGAGGGGATCCGTCGGATGGGAGTTCCTCTTCTTGCTGGCTATTTTTAATACCGGAAGAGGGGGGGGAGATAGTTAATTTAGGGCGCCGCCGGCCCTTTGCTCCTGGGAGACGAACTCTGGATGGACAGCCCGAGGAACAGAAGCCACCTACCGGCGACCTCCAAGCGGTTCGGGTCCATTTCGACACTGGCCGGCGAGTGGGCCTTTTCTGTGCTTTCAGTCCCCGCAAGGAGGGGGTTAAAAAGACCCCACCCTAAATAAATAAATAAGCGCCAGGTAACCGATCTTCTTCCTTCGCTTCGTTAACCCCTTCCTCCCCTTTAACCCCTTCGACCCGCGCCTGCAGTCGCCCAGGCCGATGCTGAGGCCGGGGCCGCGCTTGGGAGCTGAAGCCGCCGCGTCCCCAGGGCCGGCGTTCTGGCTGGCGGCCTCCCTCGAAGTGGGCTCCTTGCCAAGTCCCAGTTTTATGGGCTGTTCGGAAATTGACTGGGGCTTCTGTCTCCCGGGGAAATTAAGTCCTACGCAGGTGCATCCTAGGCATGTTTACTCGGAAGTAGGACACACTTGGCACACTGTGACTGGCTTCCAGATAAATGTACATAGCATTCCGGTTTTAAGATGTTTTTTTGAATACCAAATATGAACGTGGGCAGGGCTCCTTTTAAAATTATTCTCATTACCTCCCAGCTACACACAGAAAATGTGCAGTTTATCTCTCTGTCTGTCTGTCTATCATCCACGCGTCCATCCATCCCTATGTAAAAATATATAACTTATTATTTGCATGTTTTTGAGATTCCATCTTAGTTACCCTTTGTATTCGGATTTTGCTGTGATTTTTCTTGATGGGGCTGGGGGGGGGGGCGAAGAAAAATCTAGGCGTCGGTGGGGCAATGGAACTCTTGTAGCGCTCATTCGCCCTCATGATGTTCTTTAAGTTCTTCTTCCTTTTCGCCTTTTCTTGGAAGGGGACAGGGAGTCCGGTGGTCATCGCCATCGGGCCTGAAATAAGCAGCTTTTAAAAAAACAACTGGAAAGAGCCGGCCAAAAAGCAGAGAGCAAAACCTCAGTGGTGATAGAGGGGGGTGGGAGGAAGAAATCTCTGGCTTGAACTTAAACCCTTTCGTATTTAGGCCGGCCGCCACACGCCCCTGATGACTTCGATGGCCCTGAGACTGTGTGTAGCACAATTATGAGGACGCCGGGGAAATGCCGGGGAAACCATGAGGAGAGGTCCCTTGTAATGGGGAGCTGAATTTGCTCCAAAGAAAAATTTCAGTCCCAACTTTAAGGGCGACAGAGTTCTAGTGAGAAGTGTGGTGGGGGAGGAGGGGAGGGAGGGGAAGAGGAAGAACAACTGCCATCGGGGGCTGCCATGAAGTCTATGGATTGGCTTAACCTCGAATGACCTTGCCTGGATGGGACTTATTTATGCTGTTTTGCAACAGGTCTCTCGGGGGTGGGGGAGCCGGAAAGGAGGATCATAAGTGACAACATTCCCCCCCCCCCCAGTAAGAAATCTAGGGTTAGTCTTTTCGGTGTGTGCTTTTTGAATGTTCTGTGATTTGAGGAATAAAGATGATCCCCACCACTGCAACCAAAGTGCAGGAATTCTGCAAGGTATTGTTGTTGGGCTCTGTGTAAACAGAAGGAACCACAGCAACAATAGCGACGACCATCATAATATGCATCACGACTGAGATTCGTTGTTAGCTGGCCCGCTTGGCTTTCTTATTCGTTTTCTCCTGAATTGCTTTTTCTTCGGGGAAATCGGATTCTGGAGAAAGGACAGGTTAGGTAAACATTTACTGATGTGGAGCAACTATCCTATATGTACTCTGATATGCAGGAAGGAAAGTGTTGATTAACACAGAAGGGGGAAAAAAGCGAAATTAGCTGATTGCATGCTCATAAGTGCAAGCTGTCATTGAACTGCTTTTAAAATAGACACAGCTGGGTGTTTGTGTTGCAAAAATTCTTGTGTTTTTGCTAATACTGAAATAAGCATGATTTTGTATACCAAACATTTTCGGATCATTAAAATTTGTAATCTGCGCTGGTTGTGAAACACAAAGAGAAGCAACCGATTCCTTTGGCTGTCGAATTTGCTGATATGATATTAACTCAATCAGGTCTTGACAATCGGGGCCATTGTGCCTTATCAAATCTCTTTGATCCATTTAATACACAAAGTGCCCGACGTGGATATTGTTTGTTAACATGGAGCTCTGCCTCAAACCCCCCCCCCCCCCAATCTCTGCTCTACAATCGAACCGAAAGGGAAAGGTTGTGTATTGTCACGTTGACATCGCCTGTTGAAATCTGAATGCTCAGAAGTGTTCCTTAGGCCAGAACGGCCTTCAGAGTGTCTTGTTGGTGGATCCACCAGGAAAACAAAACGTGGGGTGGAGGGAAACACACACCTAAAATAAATTTAAAAAACTACTACATCAGCAAATTCCCTCCCCAAATGTTTCCTTGATTAACGCTTGGAAAACATGTTAAATGTAAGGGGATCTCAGACTTTTCCTCCTCCACCACCCCCAATCAGGAAACGTTTCTTGAAATAGGTGATTCTCAGCCCATTTGAACCCAAGACTTGAAAGAGGATGAGTACTGTCCTCTGGAGGAAAGCTGGTGGGACGAAATCGCCTAACTGGACTGGGAACCGGCGCTCAGTACCGTGCAAATACCCCCTGGGGGCGTCACGTAGGATAGGAGGGAAAGGAAATCGCATCCGGCTCAATGCAAGGTTCCTTTCCTCCACATTCACTCCTGGGTGGCCATCGCACGCACGCACAAATCCCAACCTCGCGTCTTTTACGCCAAAGCTCACTTAAAAATAATTTTAAAAACAAGCCTGCACCCACAAACAAATGGGAAAGTCCTACGTCATTTGCGGAGAGTGTATAAATCCTGACTGTCGATCATTCCCTCGCTGCTGAGTCACCTTCACGGATACGGAGCAGACACCACCACCACCCCCAGTCAATGTAGCTGAATCGAAAAGTAGAGAACTTTACTCCTGCGTTTCCCCGCTGGACTAGAAGTATGTTAGAGGATAACGAATAATAATAATCATTTGGGACTGATCCAGCCAAAGTTAAGAACCTGTCCCATTGACGTCAACGGAAGTCAAGGGCCTGGCTCAAATCTTTCCCGAAGTTGCGAACTTTTTTTTTGGAGGGGGGGGTTGTCCCTTGTTATAGAATTATTTCCAAATGGCTCATAAATCAGACAAAGGAATGGTTTCACCTGCGGCCAGTGTTTCAGTCCTATACCTAACAAGACCTTTCTGGTTTTTCCCGAGTCCGGAGAGTTTGGTCCAAGATGTTTGGGGTATTCAGGCCGATGAGTTACAGACGAGGCCTTGGGAAGACGAAATGGGTTGCGCTAGAATCGCTGGCATCGGTAGCTTGTTTGTCTAGGGAAGAAAAGTTTCCCTAAAGCTGGGGAAATCGTACTGGAGCTGGCGATGAGCCTGAAGTGGGCAATCCTGGCAGGGAAGGGGTCGCTTCTCAACCTTTTGGGGACCCAGATCTGTCCGCAATTGCCTTGGAGCACCTGCTAAATGGATGGGGCCGCTTCTCTCGGTGACTGGGGGGGGGGAGTAAGTAAAGCTCCTCAGTTGCCTGCTGCAGAGACAAAGGGGAGGCAGGGCAGGCACGGCGTCATGGACTCTGCACACATCTTTGGGGGCGGCTAAAGCCTTTCCCGGCTAGTTAGTAAACAGAACACAAAATCGACACCCCCCCCCCCATCATCCGATTCCTAACCTGGCCGGACTCGGGTACTCGGAGGGCCTGTGCTATTTCCGACATCTGCGCGCAAACTTCTTTCTCTTGAGGCCTACAAGAGCGGTGGAGACCTTACAAGAGGGACTTCGAAGGCCAGCCCAGAGAACCACGGAGAGCTTCTTCAGCCAAAACTGAAGGCACTTCCTGGCCT